CAGTGAATGCTTCAGTGGCTTTCATCTGTTTCATTACCGGATGAATCGCTGTTTCTAAATGAATCTCCAGAATAAATGATTCAGTGATGAACACATTTTAACAGCCAGCTGGAGTAACAATGTATATAAGCTAACATAGACTTCAGTGTTTATATCCAAACTATTAACTTTTATCCCAGCATTTCTTTGATAACCTGAACGTTTGTAACAGAAATAAACACACTGTTTGTGTGAAAAGACTGTGAAGTTGTTCCAACGTAGGGCAGGGCGAATTTTCTGATTTTATCGATTAATTCAAATTTTATGTTTTGACAATTTTATTTTTTAGAAATCGTGATTTTGAATAGAAATATCACCAAACGTTAGAATTAGACACTTCTCATGCATAAAGACATCACTTGCTTTATAATTGGATGACTCAACATTTCTGAATAAATTGTATCAGTGAATGCTTCAGTGGCTTTCATCTGTTTCATTACCGGATGAATCGCTGTTTCTAAATGAATCTCCAGAATAAATGATTCAGTGATGAACACATTTTAACAGCCAGCTGGAGTAACAATGTATATAAGCTAACATAGACTTCAGTGTTTATATCCAAACTATTAACTTTTATCCCAGCATTTCTTTGATAACCTGAACGTTTGTAACAGAAATAAACACACTGTTTGTGTGAAAAGACTGTGAAGTTGTTCCAACGTAGGGCAGGGCGAATTTCTGATTTTATCGATTAATTCAAATTTTATGTTTTGACAATTTTATTTTTTAGAAATCGTGATTTTGAATAGAAATATCACCAAACGTTAGAATTAGACACTCTGACAATATGCCAGTGATAACAGTAATGAGAAAAGTTGACCTTCAGTCATTCTGAATTTGAACTACCTTGACTTTTGATTTTAAGCATTTTCCTCGTATTATTTCTGAAGGCTTGTACAAGATGTAGTTGTAGTTCATGCATCTTTTCTGCAAAGAACAAGAGATTTGTTTAACGTTACATCAGGTTGACAGCATGTGTGCTGCACTTAGAATTTACTTTCCATCACAGAAGAAAAGATTCCCTCAAACCTGTGGCAAGGAATACTCTTTGTTTGGGGAAGTAACGATATTATCAATATCGCGATATTGCGATAGATCTTCCGGCCAAAAAGTGTAGTCTTTAAAATAGATTTGTTTTGGGTCATTATGCTTCGGTGCATGAATAGCTGACAGCTAGCGGTTTAAATGCAGTCCAAATTCAAAACATCTCTTTTAAGTGCAGAAGTATTGTAATTTCCCTAATGTAGTGTAAATATACCTATGATACTAATTTTCATTTATTTTACAGTGCAATTGTTTTACGACAGATGGCTATACTGTCATTGTTGTTATTCTATTCTAATTAGTTTGGCTTCCTAACGCTCCAGTGTGAGTGTAATTTAGACTGAGACAGTGCATCACAAATTAAAAGAGGGTTGAGTTCTCTTTAAAGTTCAGGTACAAGTCAATGCACTGGCTTTTTCTGACTTAAGTTAAAACTGTCACCGTCCCACCTGCGGGACGCTTGGCGCTCTTTTATTTTGTTGTACTTTTGCTCAATCAAATATTTTAGTAATCATCATAAATTATAAATCATTTGAAAGCTTAGAAGCCCAAGATTCATCTGTGAAAACCATTTTGAAATCATGGAAATGTTACTTTAATATCTTTTGGCGGTCTCCTCCACTCTATTTTAAGGTCCAATTCTCGTTATTAACAAACCATTAACCGTGACTTTTGCCTCAGCAAACTCCTAACTTGCTGCTTAATGATAGTTTAGTAAGGTCGTTGTTAAGTGTAGGGTTAGGGATGTAGAATATGATCATGCAGAATATGTGCTTTATAAGCACTAATAATCAGCCAATATGTTAATAATAGGCATGCTATTAAGCAATAGTTAATAGTGAGAATTGGTCAGTATACTAAAAAGTTACCAAAAATCCTAACATATAATATAACAGACGTGACCTGAATTCGCATTATATGATGTCTTTTTTAAAAACAAATTCGATAGCACAAAATAAATCCAAAATGTAAAAATCAATAATCTACTCCAAGTTCTCGCAACGCTGCAGCTTTAATGTTCGTTGTTTTAATTCAGATCTAATAAGTCAAGCTTGTTTAACATAATTGTTTATCCTATTGATTTTTAAATGTCAGACTATCGTTCGGATTTCTAAGGATTATTCATAGAAACATTTTTCTCACACAGGCATCAAAATATTAAAAAATCCTGGTCTAAATGTTGAGATCTATCAAATTAACTGCATTTTTGTTTGCATATATATACTTTTAACAGCAATTGTTTAACAATTGCGATTAGAGTGCAAATCTCTCACAAACAGCTGCAAGCCATCTTGAACAGAAACATCTGCTTTTCTCTTCTTTTTGATAAAACACCAATAGACTGACAGTGAAACAATGATATTGAATAATTCAGTTTTTCTGCCAAGCTTAACTCATTTACTATAAAGTGTTATTGTTAGATTTCGCCAGAGGAAATTATAATTCAGCAGATGTTTCAAGTGCGCACACAATTCCCAATCATACTGAATCTGTATTTATTTAACTTACAAATACACCGTTATAAAACCAGAACAAGCACAATCATAGTCATGTGTTCCAGCAGACTGTAGGATTTCCTGATTGATTCACAATTCTGAACAGAGAAACTAAATGACATTTACTTGAGGTTCTGACAAAATGTTAATTGCTGCAGTCTATTCAAAAAATATCTAGTTATTAAGTGTTGAATGAATTCTGTTTTTTAATGGGTTTGAATGAATAATTCAATGACGCACTCATAAAGTGCTTCATTTGTGGATGAATCAGGGTTTTTGAACAAATCTCTTGAGTGAATGATTCAATGACTCATGCATAAAGACATCACTTGCTTTATAATTGGATGACTCAACATTTCTGAATAAATTGTATCAGTGAATGCTTCAGTGGCTTTCATCTGTTTCATTACCGGATGAATCGCTGTTTCTAAATGAATCTCCAGAATAAATGATTCAGTGATGAACACATTTTAACAGCCAGCTGGAGTAACAATGTATATAAGCTAACATAGACTTCAGTGTTTATATCCAAACTATTAACTTTTATCCCAGCATTTCTTTGATAACCTGAACGTTTGTAACAGAAATAAACACACTGTTTGTGTGAAAAGACTGTGAAGTTGTTCCAACGTAGGGCAGGGCGAATTTCTGATTTTATCGATTAATTCAAATTTTATGTTTTGACAATTTTATTTTTTAGAAATCGTGATTTTGAATAGAAATATCACCAAACGTTAGAATTAGACACTCTGACAATATGCCAGTGATAACAGTAATGAGAAAAGTTGACCTTCAGTCATTCTGAATTTGAACTACCTTGACTTTTGATTTTAAGCATTTTCCTCGTATTATTTCTGAAGGCTTGTACAAGATGTAGTTGTAGTTCATGCATCTTTTCTGCAAAGAACAAGAGATTTGTTTAACGTTACATCAGGTTGACAGCATGTGTGCTGCACTTAGAATTTACTTTCCATCACAGAAGAAAAGATTCCCTCAAACCTGTGGCAAGGAATACTCTTTGTTTGGGGAAGTAACGATATTATCAATATCGCGATATTGCGATAGATCTTCCGGCCAAAAAGTGTAGTCTTTAAAATAGATTTGTTTTGGGTCATTATGCTTCGGTGCATGAATAGCTGACAGCTAGCGGTTTAAATGCAGTCCAAATTCAAAACATCTCTTTTAAGTGCAGAAGTATTGTAATTTCCCTAATGTAGTGTAAATATACCTATGATACTAATTTTCATTTATTTTACAGTGCAATTGTTTTACGACAGATGGCTATACTGTCATTGTTGTTATTCTATTCTAATTAGTTTGGCTTCCTAACGCTCCAGTGTGAGTGTAATTTAGACTGAGACAGTGCATCACAAATTAAAAGAGGGTTGAGTTCTCTTTAAAGTTCAGGTACAAGTCAATGCACTGGCTTTTTCTGACTTAAGTTTTCTAAGTTAAATCTGTCACCGTCCCACCTGCGGGACGCTTGGCGCTCTTTTATTTTGTTGTACTTTTGCTCAATCAAATATTTTAGTAATCATCATAAATTATAAATCATTTGAAAGCTTAGAAGCCCAAGATTCATCTGTGAAAACCATTTTGAAATCATGGAAATGTTACTTTAATATCTTTTGGCGGTCTCCTCCCCCTTAGCGGCGGTCAAGTGTCATATTACGAAATGCATTACGCTCTTTTACAATCCAAACTTTTTATAATCTTGACATAAAAACATATCACTGGAACGGTCTGAGTCTCAAGATTCCATATTTGGTGGTATTTTGTGATAGAAGTAATAATGACAGAGAAATCTAAACATTTGTGACAGAAAAATGCATTAAAAAAATTGAATGGTTTTTGGGTGGCACCCGGTGGCTGTTTGTGGTATAACGCCCTAAATAAAATCTCACAGGAACCTCAATTTTTTTCATATCAACTTCAAATTTGGAACATAACTTTTTTAGACACGAGGCTTTACATTTTTTTTTTAGCAATTTTAGAGTATAACCTGTTATGTAAAATATTCGCTTGATATAAAATATAATAAAAATTGTACAGTGCATTTTCGTCGCAGTAAATTTAAACTTCTATAACTTTGTGATATTTCAATTTTTTGAAATAATTCCACTTCTGCAATAATCTGCTGACTATCGTCTTTGGAAAAAAAGAGACCAACCTTTCCTCTATATTCCAACGTGTTCATGAATTATAACAATTTAAGTTTGGATAGTGCACTTTAATGCCTATTTTAAAAAATGGGGGGGGTGACATTTATGGGTTGGAGCTCGTAACTTTCAAAGAGCATTAGATAGAATAATGCAATGTTAAAACATACAAAATTTGTCTTTATGTTTTTAAATATTGCAATAAATATCATATCACGGACTTCATTTTGGAATAATCTCATATCGATATTGTTACATCCCCGTCAGGCGGCATCTAGTCTCTACACAGTGTTTGCACTGGAGCGAGGCAGCATGGGACGGGGCTTCTTTCTGTGGGTCAGCCGATCGCCGGACTGAAGCTCCTCCCGCAGGCGGTGCAGAGGTAGGGTCTCTCTCTGGTGTGCGCTCCCGAGTGAGTGAAGCTCCTCCCGCAGGCGGTGCAGAGGTAGGGTCTCTCTCCGGTGTGAGCTCCCGAGTGAGTGAAGCTCCTCCCACAGGCGGTGCAGAGGTAG